TGCTCCCGCCATATCTGCCTCTCCCACTGACCGTACTAATAACTCCCTCCTCCCTCAACCCCCCACCCTCCCCCCCCACCCTTTCTACACCGCAACCCTCAGACATGGCTGGTCCTGACCTAAGGTGATCCTCCCCCCTCCCAACCTCCCGCGTTCCCCCTAAAAATTTATTAAAACACCCCTTTAAAAAGAGCCTTAAAGTTACAATAGCACTGAAAAAAGTGACTTATGACTATTTTTCAGTTACAACCTTAGTAGCATCCTCATGATCATGTGATCAAAATTCAGATTCTTGATAACTGGTTCATTCTTATGACCATTGTTGTATCCCAAGGTCATGTGATCACCTTTTGCAACCTTTTTACAAGCAAAGTCAATGGGGAAGCCAAATTCACTTAACAACCAGATTACTAAATTATCAACTGCAGTGATTTATTCAACAACTGTGGCAAGAAAGGTTGTAAAATGGGGCAAAACTCACATAAATATCTCACTTAACAATATAAATTTTGGGCTCAATTGTGGTTGTAAATCAAGGACTACCTGTTATTCTGTTTGAGAAATCAGAAATTCCACTGGGGATTTTAAAGCTTTATTCTAAAGCATGAGGGCTAGAAACCTTTACTATAAGAACTTAGAATTTACAATCTATACAGGCTCCATAAAATACTTGAATTTATATTTTACTAGAAATTTATCAGGATACATTGAACTAAGTATATAGAGGCAATTTCATTAAATGTAGCCTGATGGCAAAAATTTCCAGTAAGTTAGAATAAAATTAATGTAATTTTATGTAATGTGATTTTAAATTAAATTAAATTAAAATTAGGATTAATGTATATTTTAAGAGGAATTCTAGTGTTCATTTTACATAGATAGACAAAAGAATGAAAAAAAATATAGTAGACCAAAATCATTCAAATATACTGGGCAAATTGAACTTGCTGTCTAACTTTAACCTATAAAATTTCCAATTGTACCATTGGGCTGTTGATATCTATATTCTGGGTGAGAATTTTTCTGGGTATTATCATTTTGGGGCTTATTGAGAGACAGTGTTTGTAATTTCTCTGAAATCTTAGCAAACTTTAGGGTCCAACTATGTTAAACAGAGTTTTCCTTTCCCACCCTGAATACTGCTCAACATATTTAGTTCTTAATAAGTAAGCAAGTTTTTATTGAAAATCATATGGGAAAAAAACAAACATTTGGAAGAGCTGAAATCTGAAAATAGCACGGAAGACGTTCTGTTGGAATGCCTGGGCCAAACAGCAACACATTCCTTAAATCAGTTGATTCCTAATGGTTATTTTAAATATTTTAAGATTTTTTTCTGATAATTTACCTGTAACATCTCTCTGACATCAAGGAATGGATTCTGGATATTACCTCTGTTACACATTTTTGAAAAATCTTTATGTTCTAAACCTAAGAAGATGAAATACTATGTTTCAGGTATGGTCTAGATGTAATGATAACCTTAAATACTGAATTAATTATATGGATACTACATGGATCTTTTAACTAATTTTTCCCTTTTTTTCTTTTCTTTTAACCTTTTCTTTTCTCACCCTATAAACACTATTGTATTTTTTTTCTGTTGGTGTTATAGTTATTTGTATTCCATTCAGGCTAGAAATCTGTGTTTATAGATATGAAACTAATGGCATTTGGAGCCTAGATTTTTTCCTACAACTTTCTGTAATTGTACAGTATTTGATGGTTCTAAGTCACTTCTTTTCTTCTCCCGAGGAAAATTACTGGATGAAGTCAAGGGGGCCACCTGTTACAACAGTCTTTTCAGTATTGTAAATCATGTTTACAAAATATATATATTGTGAGAAATTGACAGAAATTTATATTGTTTCAGACTTTAGAATCTCTAATTTTGTATTTGAACTAATAATGGTGTAAATATTTGACACTCTTTTTGTACCAAAAATGAGACAAATTCTGTTCCACTGGCTTTTGACAATCTTCCATTTTCTTGGATATATTTTTGACAAATTCTATGCAAATTTAATGAATTTTATTTCTCATGTAAGGGGTTATATTTAATAGATTCTGTTTTTCCAATATGCTGAAATTCATTAGATCAACTCTGGCAACATAGGCAATGAGGGACTTAAGCCTGGCATATTTTGGCTTGCTGATATATTTATGTATCTGATATTCTACAACATTTTCTACTTTATTGAAAATGTAGGGTGGGGGTTCCAGTTTGTGATACAGTATTAATCATGTATCTAAGCCTTCTTGCAGTCCTTATGATAAACATTTTTTGCTTTCTATTCTTTGCCCTGGTATACAGATAAAACCTAATGTGGTGAGACTAAACCACTCTAGCAGCAAATATGCAGCTATTTGTGAGCAACTAAAGATAGAGGTAAGGGGTTCTGACATTATGTCTCAAGCCCAAAATATTTTTATTGGGGTGAGAAGTCAAGGAAAGGCAAGAATTCCATACAATAGAATAAAATACAGTATTTTGTTTGATTTGTCTGACCCAATGCACAATTAAGGCAATCTTAGCTGTTGATGCATCTATCAGAAATTCTGAGTATATTGACTGTTTAGGAAAATGTCACTTGGTAATCCATACCTAGCATCTCCAGACAAGACTGAAAAATATTCTTTACTTGCAAATCCTTTGGAGAATAGCAGCATAGGGCATACTATAATAAGTAAGCCCTGTACTTTTGAAGAAACTTTTCGGGGTAGAGGATTCTGCTCATTGTGAGGCATGTTGGCAATGCAAGGTAAAGACACAATCTTGCTGTTAATGTAGTATTCTAAGTGTGCTGTAGTAAATATCAGTACAAGGCTGTCTGGTTTGGTAGAGTATTTGATGATTCTTGTTCCTGGCCTCAAGTTAATGCCTAAGGGGATTGAGAACAAATTTTATTCATTAACCTTTATCACAGAGGGTTATTTCAGTCAGGGCAACACGTCTGTAATGTGGATAATCTAATTTGTCTTAGGTAACTTTAGATTTACCCAAAATAAGCATACCATTTTGTCCCTTTCAGGTGGCAGACTTAAGAGGGAGGCTCCGAGCTTATGAAGAAAAAATGCCAGAGCTTACGTTCTTCCCTGCTTTGGCTCCTTGTACTTCTGAGCAGATGGAGCTCTTCAGGTGGTCCATTACCTCTAAAGCAGAGTTCCCCAACCTTTCCGGCTTTGCAAACTGGCAGGGGAAGAGGGGGATGGTTTTATGCAAGCGGTGGGCACAGGCTTGCCCGCTGCTTGCGCAAGTAGGGATGTGCACACGCATGCGTGCCTGCCACTTCCGCAGCCTGGTTCTGAAAGGCTCAAGGTCCGGTAGTGGGCTGCGGTCCAGGGGTTGGGGACCTCTGCTCTAAGGGGAGAAAAGGTAGCAGATGGGCAATGTGTCAGTAAATATGATCTCTTCTGCATGAGACAATATCTTTTATTTTTATCTTCTGGTTCCAAACTGAAATGCCAAACTCTTTATCTCTTCTTTTTATTTCACTTCCTTAAAAAGAAACAAATATCTTATTCCTATTCAGGGACAAATTCTTATATTTCATTTATAGCAATGAAAGCTATTTTAAAAAAATATCCTCCATGGTTCTAAGTATTGTGAAATCTATTTTGAGAACGATATTGTTCATACATTCAGTAGTTCCCGATTCTTTGGCATAAAGAGAGAAGTATAAATAAATATTTAATATTGCCCAAGGTGGGAATAGAAGGAGATAGTGAAGCAGTAATATATGTAAGAAATTGAAACTTTGAAGGAAGATTTTTTTTTTCTACTATGCAATTTTTTTTCTAGCATATTATGTTCCAGATGCTTTTGGCAGGCCACTGCCTCTTAGATTCTCCCCCATTTGCAATATGGGGATGATAATTTTGACTATCTCTACACAGATGTTTTCAGTGCTTTGTGAAGATTGTAAGTGCTTTGAAAACAGTATTGCTGTAGAAATATTAAGCAATAGAATATTATAACAGGAGAGTACTGAATAGTTATTTAATAGTTTGAGGGATTATCTCCCCCCCCCAATTAAAATATATGTGATATTTCACACTTTGTTAATATATTTGGGCCTGAATTTCATTAGCAAACCTTCAAACTGAACAAATTTGTGCCTTGAAGAGGGGAATGGGCAAATTGGACTGGAATGTTTTTGATTCTGTTCAAGTTGATGTTGAAGTAAATTTTTCTCCTTGCTTTGGACGTAGGTCAGAAGAAATTACTTTGGATAATGTAGTGTTGCAAAAAGATGATTCCACAGAAATGGGACCCTCCCAACTTTTGAAACAAAATTGCTCAAGAAAAAGCCACACGAAGGAGGTAAGAGCACGAGAATTATGAAAGGAGTCTAAGTCAAAGTTGTCCAGCACATAGATAATTTCTCTCACGGTTTTTGCAAGAATTACTTAGCATTAATTTGTTCTTTCATCCAAGCAGGATTCTGTGTGCCTAGTGTGTAAATGAATCCTATGAACATTTCTAAACTAACACCCGGCAGCAATTGCTCCTTCCTTCCTCACCCTGAAGAGGTGAGAACTCAAGTTAATTCACATGGAAGGAAAATCTGAAATGCTGAGTTTGATTAATTTTCTGCATTTCTCAAGAAAGAAGAAACTGAGTGTCAATGAGAGGGCATTAATTGAATATACAATATAGCATCAAAGTGAAGTTTTTTTTCTCGTTAAGTTGTGCTATCAGTTGTTTCAGTTGAGTGCAGTTGCTAAAGTCCTTGATTCACAAACTTGCCTCTGCATATAGATTGCATCACAGAATATTTAAGGGATAAAATAAAATTACTGCATTACAATTACAAATAATACACCTATAGGGAGAATGTGGCCATTTTGTTTAGTGGAAAGAAGTAGGATTCATCACAGTTTGGTCTCCTTCAGCTTATGTTCCCCGGGTTTACTTTCCCCCCAGTTTCTTCCATTGTGTGAGAGAAAGAAAGGCCAAAAGAAAGAAAAAGCTGGCTGCTTCCACTTCTAATTTTGATCTTGTCTTGCTGTCATTATATACAAAATAATTTGTTCTCAAGAACAATAAAAAACCTCTACTTCCCTTCAAGATACACTAGACCAGGGGTGTCAAATTGCCAGCCCGCGAGTCGGACGCGTCACATGGAAGCTGCGCCCACCCCATTGCCGGCAATGGCAAAACTGTCCTGATAAGTTGCGCAACGTCACGTGACGTCGCGGGTTTGACATGTCTGCACTAGACTAAATAACCTTTTGGTTTTGTATTTAGTGTCATGGAGAAACTCAACCACCATCTTAGCTGTTGAATGAACGTAACTATTATGTTAAACCATTATGATTTATTTGTACATAGCACATGATATTAATAAAGCAATGGTATGCTGTTAAAGAAAATTCAGCCCATTTTGTGGTGCAGTATTTAAATTAAGTTTTTTTCTTGGCTTTCTGACTCTTACTTTTAACATCCCCCATGATATAACCACAGTGGCAGCAAAATACTTAATAGGCTTTTCCTTGCCAGCACTAGTTCTTCTTTTCTTCTCTTTCTTCTCTTTCTTAAAGATGTACCTGTTCCCAGCCAAGTTGACTTATTTTCTTCATAAAACCTATATTACAATGTCAGCACCATTGATCCACAAATATTCCAAGCCCATTTCTATGTGTGCTTTCCATCAGGCAAACCTTTTTGGTATCAAAGGCATTTCTCATGTTAACATGAAGGAAAGATAAAATTGGCAAAGATTTCTTGCCTTCTCTGTGCCCATCAGAAATCTCAAAAGAAGGTTGTGATTCTTAATGTGAGATGTGTTTTGAAAAAGGTTAAAAAAAGGTTTGCAGCATTTTTTGTAGGATTTGCAATTTTCTCTAAAGTATGATAATTGATTATTTTTTCCCTTTTTTTCTTTCTTTTCTTGCCAGAGAGCTATGAACATTCACTTTTAAAATGGCAAATTGGTTTGTGGATGTCTGATCAGCATCTACAGTAGTGAGCTTTTCTTTCTCTTCAGAATTTAATGGATACTCTGACATCATAGCAGCTCAGCCAATTGATGTCTGAGAACTTGTAAATAACAATTACAGTTTTGTAATTTACAATTATAATATAGATCCTGCAATCTTGTACCATTTTTTCTTGGATAAATTCAGGATTCAGAAAGAAAATTTGAGTGCTGCTGCCCAAAGTTTTCAAATCCAATTAAACATCAGGAAAAAGTGGAAACTCAGTTGCAGAGCATGGACAAGGAACAATTGAAGAGGTGATTTGGTATATTTCAGTTCAAAATGAAGGATGAGTAACCTTTTTTTAACCTGCTACTTTTGTACATATATAACAGATATATTGGACTCAAAGAAATACTGCAGATGCTTTTTTTTTAAATTTCCCATACCCTACCTTTTTCCAGGGATTGAAAGGAAACAGAGACCAGCCCAGTCCATTCCACTGCATACATTTATTTAAACTTTTACAGACTTCCGATTTGCGCTCGTAATGCATGGCCGTGCGAAAGCAGACCTCTGCTCCCCACGGCTAATTTCGCCCTGCCAGGGGGACCCTAGATGGGTCCAAAGTCGCCCCGGAGAGGTGACCGCAAAGGAGGGACGCCGCATTGATCACGAAGCGACGGCAATCATTTCGTTTGATCCAGGGAAAGCCCTCCCAACCTGACAGGAGAAAGGCTAGCCGCATGCCAGCGTCTAGCCCAAGCTCCTGCAGCTGAAGTCCAAGAGCACTACCAAGAACAACAGTGAACAGCGTGCTTGGAACTGGTGAGAGTATTTGATCTTCTCTCCCTTATTTTACAACCAGTCCCTGGGAAAGATCCCCAAAGCAAACAACCTCCGAAAGTGAGGGGAGAGGACTACATTCCCATTCCCCCACAGGCGGAAGCGGTGAATTAACCTTTAAGGAGGAAAGAACTTTATTGAAATTAAATTCAAAATACTACAAACTTAGAAATTAAAACAAACTGCTAAGATTATATTCTAAAAGATTTTGATTGAATTGCATAAAAAAAAGAAAATAATAAGAACTTTTTGTCTGAAAGAGCTGGAAAATAAATATTTGCTGACATCTAGTGGACAATGAGAATATAGCACATTAAAGATGCCAGTTCCGATGAACTCTAATAACCTTTAAGAAGATAGTTGCTAAGGAACAGAGAAGAGATTGCATACTGGGCCGGCTATAAGATTGGAAAGTGTTTGAAGGAAAAGAAATACTTTGTGGTTTAAATTTATGAACTGTTTAAAAACTTTGATCTATGATAAATTACTGAGAAGGGAAGTTACAGAAGGATTTAAGCTGGTTAAATATATTGAATTGACAATTGACTCCTGAAAGAAAGAATTGTTATAAAACATTGATTTTACTGAAATCTTGACAACTGAAAATTACAGTGGATTACAAAAATTATATATAAAAACAAGAACTATACAAAATTGGACTGTGTGGTTTTTGAGTTTTGGTTAGCTTGACAAGGCTAATTACAGAGACTATGGCATTTATGACAGACTACTCGAAAGGGGGAGACAACATAGATATGACATGCTCATCAAAAAATGATAGAAAACCACACTTAATATTTACTCCTGAAAGATTTAGCCTGAAAGATCAAAGACCTTTAGAAACACTTCAAGACAAGAAAAATACTTTCCAAGACGAAATTTATGCTATGCTACGACAACAGACTTAAACCACAAGGAGATAACTTTGATACTATAAGTGAATATACTTCTAACTTAAATCTACAATCAAAAAACATCCAAAGAATGATGGTAAAGAATGAACAAACAATCCAGACACCAGAATGTGAACTAGAAAAAAATGATTCAACTGGTGAAGTTACAAATGAAGGGAATTATAACTTAATACAAACAAGAAAAAACTTACAAGACTTGGATACAAGAATAAATATGGGAAAGATACCTTATGCATTAGAACGTCAAAATAAACCTGAGAAGAAAGAAAACTTAACAAAATGGACACTGTTAGGAGAATCATTGTTTGGGAGACAAAAAGCATACATCTTATCTACTATGTATCCTCTACTCCTAACAATAACTACAAAAATTCAAGAACTCTTTGACGAAAATATTAATTTGGAAAACAATTTGGCAAAGGAAGAAGATTAGAGACGGGCTGAAGACATTGGTTTCACCCTACCAAATGGAATATTATATGAGTAAACACTTGTTTGAATATGGCTAAATAAACAAATAACTTTGGCCATAAAGGGATTTTAGAATAAGTGGGATAAGAATATAGTATTTTTTGATAAGATACAAAATGTAAAAATATTAGGATGTTGTAAGTGAAGGAAAAGTTTGAATTTTAAAGACAAATTAAGTTTGAAAATATTTAGGATTAAGGAATGATTGAAATATTGAGGGGAATTTAGGCTTAATAAGAACTCTGAAAAAGGGATATATAGTGATTTAACTGATTTTTATAAATAGAAGTGAAATATAAATTGACTAGAAAGATGTTATGGATAGATATTATGATAGATAAGAAGTATAGTATTTCTATAATATATGAAAGATGAAAATACTGGGATGATATATTTAAATGGAAAATTTGGATATTTAGATGTTAAATACTGGGGGAAATATGATTGACAAGAATTGAATATTATGGAGAAATTGAGCTTAAACAAGATTTATGAAAATAAGATACATGGTGAATCAATAAGATGACTCTTACGAAAACAAGCTGACAAGAAAAAAAATGCTACATGTGGACGCTACTATTGTTAGTATAATTATAGAAGAAAATGTTTTTATTTAATCATTTAAATATGGAAATTTTCAAATATTAGAAAGTATATTTGTTTAATGTTGTAAAAGGAGAATACTACTAGGTGAAGAGAAGATCAAGGAAATATATTATAAATTGATATACTAATTATGGAAATATAAAAATTAATTATTATTGATTGTTTATTAACTATTATTAATTGTATATTCTTTTCTAAAAAAATTATGAACCAAGACAACATGCTATACATCAGGCACTAAGGCTGTTATTGTAAAAAAACCAATAAAACTTTTACAAAAAAAATTAAATAAATAAACTTTTACATTTTAACTAGCTCTCCTCTTGCAAATCTCATAGATCTGTTTTATTTCAGGCTTGTAATAGCTGCTCTGCTGGTAGCCAAAAGACAGTACAGTTGGTTGAAAGTCACCAACTTACTTACTCCTGAAATGATAGCACAGTTTGAAGAGCTGACTTCCATACTTCATCAAGAGTCCCATGGAGCCCTGAACATTTCAGTTTTGGATGGACATGATGAAGAACCGGATGTGCAACAATTTATAAATCGCAATGATTCTTTGGGTAAAGTTCAGAGAAGGGTAAATGTTGAAAGTGCAGACCAATTCATGCCAACAATGTTTGTTATTGTTTGTTTCTTTATCATAGCTGTCCTCCCTGCCTCTCTTACTGCAACCAAGCATGCCAGTCCTAAGGTCAATCCTGGAATACAACCTGCTGAACCAGAAGCTGAGCTGTTTCCACATGCTGTCTTGAAGACCCCTCACCACTCAACAAAGAAGAGGAAGGCATCACAGTCTGAAAGAAGCATTTCATCTAGCCAAAGGGAGTGTGCAAAGCGCTGTCGGAAGGCTTGCCTCTCATCCCAGAAAGTGGATTCTCTGAAGGAATGGTCTGATTTTGCCCCAGTAGACTGTACCAGCACTCCTCTTGGAGTGAAAGCAAAATCTCCCAGACCAGTTGACCATCATACTCCATTATATTGCCCATCAACAGTTACTAAGAGTCGCATGCCCCTAGCTCCCCCAACCATTCAGAATTGCTCTCCTCCACAAAACTTGAACATAACTTTTGACCGCTTTGAGGAATCCTGCCCCCCAGCCTTGAAGGTCAATACTGTGGAATGCCCTGCTTGGGAAAGTGTCCAGCATGTCTCCAATCATCAGAGTGTGCCTTTTATACCCAGGTAGGATCTTCAGAAAGGCAATTGTTTTCAATTATCTTATTTGCAGAGATTTAACCCAGTAGTCCTTGGATTTTAATGGCTTCTAATAGGGTTGGGCAGTCTATTGTCCAATTGTCTCAAACAAATGGCTTTTGTGGAGTTTAGAGAACTCCATCAAGAAGTTATAATTGTTTTTCAGCACCATCTGCTAAATTTGTGGTGGTACATTAACCAAAAGCTCAAATTACATGTGTGATATCCTGAGAAATATTCAGATGGCAGGCTAGTATATTAGTCATTTCCTAATCCACACTGTCTTCTTAGGCTCCGTTGAAACAATCTGTGAGTAAAGGGATCTCTACAGTACATTATATGAAATCTACAAATAATATTTTCCTTGTCCGGTGCCCAGATAAAGAAGAGGCAAGATTTGTGAGATTTGTTTCATTTTGTTTTGCAGTGATAAACTGGTTTGGGAATTAATAGGCAATTAGTATGGCTGGAACCCAAAGGGTCTACTATTCTAGCAAACTAACATACTGTGTTTCCCCGAAAATAAGACCGGTCTTTTTTTTTTTTTGTCTCCAAAAGCACCAGGTTTTATTTTCAGGGGATGTCTTTTATACTCCCCTCCAGCACCAACAGCCCCGCGTAGCCGGTCCACTTCTTCTGTGGCCGAAAGAGCAGCTTCATTCTGCAGCTGCATTCCGGTCAGCATTTTGCAGTCAGGCCTTTCCAGAAGACCTTTGCAGCCGAGTAGCCCAGGTTTTATTTTCAGGGGATGTCTTTTATACTCCCCTCCAGCACCAACAGCCCCGCGTAGCCGGTCCACTTCTTCTGTGGCCGAAAGAGCAGCTTCATTCTGCAGCTGCATTCCGGTCAGCATTTTGCAGTCAGGCCTTTCCAGAAGACCTTTGCAGCCGAGTAGCCCAATCCATAGCTTGGTTCTCGACTCCAGAGGTCTTGCAGAACCAAGCTATGGATTCAATCCATAGCTTGGTTCTTGGCTGCACAGGCCTTCTGGAAAGGCCTGTGACTGAGAAATGCAGGCCTGGCTGCAGAAGAAGTGGGCTGGCGAGGAGAGGCCTGGCTGCCAGGTAAGTGGGTGCGGAGCGCGTGGGGCAGTTCCACCCCCCCCCCCCAGTTTGATTTTTAGGTTTGTGCCTCGCCCTAAAACTAGGGCTTATTTTTGGGGTAGGCCTTACTTTTGGGGAAACACAGTAGTTGCACCTTCCCTTTGTAGATGGTGATCTTACCTCACCTAAAGCTGTTGAAAGGTAAAAGGTTATGGATAACACTGATACTTTCAGCAAACTTGGTCCCAGCAATAGTTTGCCGAGGGCTTAAGGAGTATAATTTGCTATAGAGATCAGTACGTTTGTGAGGTACATGAGCCACACGGGTTCCCCTTAGTTTCTACATAGGTTTTGTGGCATGACTCTGTAAAATCTTTGAAAGGTAGGATATATAACCTGGCATGTATGTGAATGCTGATTTAGTTCCTAGTCTTCTCAGTAGAGCATCTCGGCCCGAAAAATCATCTGGCTATTTTTCAAAAACTTTTCCATTGTATGGATTAAATGTAATCTTATGTATAAGGTATAGATTCAAAGATTAATCCTGAGGGAAAGCAGTGTGTTTTGTTTAAATGCTACTAATCGTTTGGGAAAAGCAAAAGACTTTTATAATATTTTGATATATTTGAAAGCAGCTGAGATACTTTTTCAATTCTTTTCACTTAAAATAAGCTTCATCCTTGTCAGTTTTCTAAAATTTTGTCTGTAGTATATTCCAGTTTTTTTAATGTGTTTTTCAGATCAGATCAAATCAAATCTTTATTCTGTCATAGATCAGCAAAAAAAATCCCTATGTTGTTCTGTTATCTTAATTAATTGTGACCCTTGTGTTTTATTTGCTGGTCTATGACCAAATAAAGATTTGATTTGAATGTTTTTCTTTTCTGATTTAATCTTATTGTTATGCTATGCTGTCTAGAAAACAGATTTCTTTAATAGAGAGCTACCAAATCCACCTGCATGATTTACCATCTCTCATGGATCTATTTCAGGGCCTCCATGCCTGTGTTTATTATGAAAGGCTCCTCTATCCCAAGAGCAACATCTCTGGCTTCCAAAGCATCATTACAGAAGAGGAGACATACCACAATGTAAAGTCATTCTCAGCTTTGAGATAAGTTTGGTTAATGTGGAAATTATGCCTAGGTAACTTTTGGTGGCAGGGCGAGGGTGCTTTTGAGTCAGTGCTGACTAGTGCCTGCAGTTTTCAGATTTTTCAGAAGTGGTTTGCCATTGACAGCTTCCCACAGCTTACAGAGAGACAAACTAGTCCAAGGTCACTCAGTTGATTATGTGCCTAAGGCAGGATTAGTTTTAGATGCTTTAACCATTACAACAAACTTGCTCTCTAGGTTGATGTTTACAAAGAGTAGAATGATTACAGACTTGGTGGCAGGTGATTCCTTGTTTGTTATTGGCAAGATAGCAGCTATTTTTTGTAAGATCAGTTTTTCATGGGTACCAGAAATAACATCACTTCTTGCACCAGTCTGAAGTGATATTCTTCATTTCAGTCTACAACCTCATTCTTTGTATTCTTTGTTATGGTTAAAAACTCATATAAAACCTTGTCTCTGGGAGCATGACATAAAATCTGTTTACAGGTAGTCCTCAACTTACAACCGTTCATTTAGTGATTGTTTGAAATTGCAATGGCACTGAAAAAGGGGACTTATGACCATTTTTCATACTTATGACAGCTGTAGCATCCACGTGGTCACACGATCAAAATTCAGACACTTGGAAATTGACTCATATTTATGACGGTTGCAATGTCACGAGATCCCTTTTTTAACCTTCTGACAAGGAAAATCAATGGGGAAGCCAGATTCACTTAACAGTCATGTCACTAGCCTAACAATTGCAGTGATTCACTTAACAGCTGTGGCAAGAAAGGTCATAAAATAGGGCAAAACTTACTTAACCACTGTCTTGCTTAGCAGTGGAAATTTTGGGCTCAATTGTGGTCATAAGTTGAGGACTACTTATATCTGTTTTTCAATCTTTTGCTTAAGGGTAGATGGAATGTATAGTCCATGCTAATATATTCTTGGTATGGGAAGCTGTACAAAAATTGTTACATATATTCTGAATGTATAAGAATAGGCAAATTATTTGGTTGTTTGATTGGGAACTACATCAAACAGCTAGGGAAGTTGTAGAATAGTTTTCTGAATATGCTGCTCTCAGTTATGTTGAACCTCAACTCCCATGATCCCTAGCTTCCAAATATGGCTACAATAAAACTATATTCTCTCTCTTTCCAGTTCTACTTCTCACTTGAGAAGCAGCCGCATTGGTAGGCTCCAGGGTTGTTCTGTAAAGTCTTCACAGATTGTGAATGCACCAGGTAAGTTTGCTTTAGAAAGTCAATGGGCAAAATCTCCCATATTGTAATGGAGTTTCAGTTGGTAGTGGAAAATAAGAGGAAATGGAATTAATGAAAAAGTTTATTTTAAAGCGCTACTGCTCCATTCTCAAACGAGTGTTGTGGAAGCACTGGCACTGATTTATATTTTCTGTTCATTCATATTTATATTTGCAAAATATATACATTTATATTTGCAAAAGCATGGAAACTGCAAACTAAGATTATCATAAAATCTACAGCATGGGTGTAACATACTGTTTCTGCAATTTCTCATAGTTTCTCAAGCCAAGCATATTTTTTCCTTCTTTTAGCTTCAATCCTCTTCAGGCTGTAGACATTTTTAGTCTAATACTTGGCTGTTATGTCAGTTTTTAAGCACATACAGGAATTTCAATAATAGTGCCAATACTGTTCTATGAATTGAATGTTTATGTGTATGCTGTTTGGGGTACTTGTTAGTTTCCCCCTTCTCATTCTAGTTTTATGTGAAGTTGTTTTGTTATTTGTTAAAGGAGTAAGTGCTTTAAAATAGTAGGGGTTGTTATTGCTGGAACAGAAGTAGAATAATCCCTAGTTATTATCATTTACAGTTTTACCCATGAACTCCCATCTTAATATTTTTCCCCTTCTGCCCAGGACGTCCATCTGGCATCCCTGCATGGAAATGGCGCTAGAGATCTGTTCATTCCTAGGAATCAGCATTCTATTGTAGGCTCATTCCATGAAGCTTCTTTATAGCTTCTACTTGAACATTTTAACATTCTGACAACATATGTCTTCACCTTCCTCTATTCTTATATAACTATATCTGTATATCCATATCTACCATGTTAATAGCAGGTGTACATTGAATTAACAGATGACAGCTCAGTAGCCATAAATTATTAGGAAACAACAGCAACCTAAACTGTACAACAGCTTCCATTGTAGTTATAATATTATAATTATAATATGGTGCTCATCATGTATCTGTTGGGTAAAAAGTTTTCAAAACTAGCTCGTTCTGGACCAAAATTAATGATTTTGTACCAAAGTGAATGAATTTTTATTTAGTCAGCTTCTTTGGCTAGTTTTTGTTAGTAATAATAAAAGCTAGTTCCTCCTCCTTGGCACACTGAGGATAAGCGTGTAAAAGTGTGAACTGAACAAACTAAGCTGCCAAGATAGTCTGTAACATTGTACTGTGGATATCCCTGACATTGTATGCCATACAAAATAAAAAAATATTTTAAAAATCCACTCTATTAACTTTGTTATTTGTCTTCATTTTGCACCAGAATCCAAGTATAGAAGGGTAGGTAATAAAAAAGATACTCTTTAATAGCACCTGGATGCTATTACATGACAACCCTATATTCAAGAGAGAAGACAGATTATGTACAGTTATCCTTTAAAATAAATATGAATATTTCCTATTTATGAAGCTTTCAGTGTAAAATTTGCTAGAGTCAATAAAAAGCACAAGTGATGCTGTGAATCATGAGTTAGCTGGCCAGTCAAGCCCCTTTTCTACACGGATGTGTCAATGCTGTTATTTTATAGTTAGGATTTGGGCTAATTAAGAACCACGCTTTATGCTTCCTTAAAAGCCCCTTGTGTGCATGGAGAAAAGAGAAGAACATGAAATATTTCACTAAGGTTATATTGCAAGGGATAGTGGTCTCTGGGATTGTGAGAGCACGCCTCACAGAATTTTTCTCATTCTCACCCTCTTCTTATTAAATACAAATCAAGCAACTAAGGTTGTAAGGAGATAAAATGAAAGAAGGTAAAGGGCAATAATAAATGCTCCTGTTTTATAATCAGATCACATTCTTTTGCAAATGTTCCAGGCAATAGGAAACAAAGGCAGATGAAGAAAGCAAGATGGAAATGATTGATGGAAAGATTATGTCTACAGCAAAGAAAACTGATTCAGATCATTTGAAATAGTACTAGGTACCTCATGTGGCTCAATTAAATGTTTTTTAAACATGATTAGACAGATAATATTACTATTATCAACCTGTCAGAAGATTTACCAAAAACAGTTCATAGCATTTCTTGAATTTCAGTGCAGGATTTTTACCAAGAGTTTGTATAAGTCAAACTCATGGTTATTGAGTTGGTCATGTTGGTTATTTGATGAAGGGAAACAAAAACAATTTGGTAAACTTTATTTAACAAAATTAAAACAGCATAGAACGTAGTAGGAACTGCACTGTTCATTATTAGGGAAACAGTATGGATCAAAAACATAGTGACAGAAGCCACAAAATGGTGAGAAATATGGGGAAAAAAGTGTGGGATGTTATATTACTTTACATCTTGTTCCAGGAGATTTAGCATGACATTTAGTATGAGTTGGCCAACTTGATGACTAGGGTTTTTTTTTGGGGGGGAGGTTTCTTGAAGCTCTTAATAGCTTACTGTGACAATATCGCTTGTGACCAATTGGCCAAACTCAAACAGGGAAAACCAAGGCAAGGATAAGTTCATTATTTCATGAAGAGTCAGGATGAGTTTATTGAACTATGCACTAAATATGGTATAGAAAGCCATCCTAGCAGACAGAGAAGGCCATTTATTCTATCTGTGATGTTACTCCTGATATTCTCCATCAAGAACAACATATATTGATATTCCAATTTGTAGTTCACAACAAAAATTCCGGTACATTTAACATTAAACAAAGCTTTATTGAGTTTATCAGCTTTGATGTAAACACTGAAAAACAGATAGCTGAAATGTAAATTATTAGCCTGAAAAAAAAGTAACATTCCTCTTGATTGCAGAGAGCAAAGTTTTGATAATGGCTTTAATCTCTCGGAGAAAATAAAAAGTGTTCAAATATCAATTTATCTTACTTGTGTTTCTGATTCTCTACATCTTGTAAGTATTAATACTGCGCCAACCTATATTAAAATTTTCAACTGTATTTTGTTCATGGACAGCAACTTTTTTTTGTTTTTATGGACTAGTTCTCTGAGATGAAGGAATAGAACAGAAAAAATACAGTTCAGACATAGTAATCAACATGGGTCAATGTTATCCATCCACTCACAGAATCTTCTGGGTATTCCTCAAGCATTTGAATGTACTCTCAAATTAAACTTGACACTTGAAGCTTAGTCAAATCCAGAAGCATTGAAAAGACTTTGGCTAGTGTTCATGCCTTTTGTCAGCAAGCTTTTAGTACAAGGTGTTTTCAGGTACTGATGACAGAAGCAAGATTTTACAAGCCAGAGAAATCTGTTCTGAATCAAAAGTAGGTCTCATTGCACATATTATTGAAAATGTAATACAACAGAGATTGGTGGCCCAACATGTTTCAGGTAGCATATCTTGTAGTGGAAACTATGGGAATTCGGAAGTAATTAACTCAAGCAGAAAGTTGAAAAGAGTACATATTGAAGCTAGTAAGATATCATGTTTTATCTTCTGATGAATTTTTATTTCAGAATGATGAGTTTTTGGATATTATCTGCAAATTGAAATGAGATTCAAAGCAACCAATATGTTTTGCATTCCATTCAGCTGTAAAATATGTGCAATTGAAACCTGAATAGGAAGAAGCTTCTAAATCATCTGCTTTTCAAACATCTTTCTGACATTTTTCTGAATATTTTTTTTCTTGGGGAATGTTGCAACTGGAAAAAAATAGTCCAATCTACTTGTGGGAAAAAGTAAAACTTGCCTCATTAATCTTATAAAATTTTTTTTACAAAAAAGCCAAGTAGCCCATAAGTAATTTTTAGCAGAAGGCATCTTTTGAATTGGGTAGATTTGGGCAATTGGGTAAATAGAGCAATTGCTTTAAATCAAATTGATCTATCAGTTTATTGCCTTGTTGGTCCATTAGAATATCAATAACAAAAACTATATCTGGATATTACTATTTTCAAAAGCAACAGTTAAAAAAAGTTATACAATAGTCAGCAATGTATAAAGTAGAATCCTTTATGCACGAGACTATGTATAAGGGATAGGGTACAAGCAATGATCAGCAATTTGTATCAAGCACTATGTGGCAAATTTCTGAGCTCAGAAACAGGCAGCTATGATGCAGCTGATCCAGTTACTTTCTACATCTTACAATAAAAGATAAATCTGCAAGGCAATTTAATCCCTTTCTCATGAAACAGACTTGTTTGCCCCATCCCTCCCCATCATGCTTAGAACGTGAGGGTATGGCAACTATAGTATTTCCTTGAGAAAAAGGAAATGAAGAAGTGAATGGCTAAGTAGTCTTACCTACACACAAAAAAATGTAAGATATTGCCATATTTAGCTTGCCATCCAAAAAACATGGACATGGGCAATTGCTATTTAGTGTCAAAATTGGAAATTAATTCAGGTAGTAAAATTTCATATTTCAATACCAAGAAAATTCAACCTGCTAGAAGATTATTAAAGATTATTAAATTACAAAATGTAATTTTTTTTTTGCTATTTTAAAAACTCATAGTGGATTATAAATTTGCTGACAAAATAAAATGCTCTGATTTAATTATGGAGAATCTAAAATTTGACTGTCTATGAATATCCTAGGGAGAAACAAGTGTGAGGGGGGAGTTATAGAAATGTTCAGTGGCATCCATGGAAAAGAGTCAGAACACTCAATATGGCAGCTGTATAAATGAAGCTCTGGTCCTTTTAATTCACCGGTGTCAAACTCGCCGCATCATATGACATGTCACAACGTATTGTGACTTTTTTCACATTGCCGGAGCTGGGGTGGGTGCAGCCTCCGAATGATGCTGGCAGTTTGACACCCCTGTTTTAATTTCTTGTGTGATGTATGTGCAAAGGTTATGGAGCAACTATCATGCAGTCATGGCCACCATCTTCACTTTTTCAGCCACCCCAAGAGCCTTGGAGAGATCACAGAGCAATTTACTTCTCAGGGTTTACAATCCAGATACCCCAGCCAACACTTCTTTCTGTTTTGTCACAAACAGAAAACAAGGCTAACCCAGTGGTGGGATTCAGCCGGTTCACACCACTTCAGCAGAACCAGTAGCTAATTTTTTGTTGCCCAGGCCCAGAACGGACTTCCGGAAGCGGCATCCACACAGAGAACCAGTTGTTCACATATTAGAATCCCACCACTGGGCCAACCTGATCAATAAGTAATGGTATTATTTTAGAACATAATTGCAAGTTCTTTCTATTATTTCCCCAGAAGTTAGTCCTAGCATTATTAAGTATGATTAAATGATTGTTGTGGATTATTGTTGTTTTTCTTTCTTAGAATTAGAGAATAGGTCAGTGGTGGCAAACCTATGGCACGGGTGCCAGAGTGGCACTCAGAGCCCTCTCTGTGGGCATGCGCACCGTCGCCCCAGTCCTAGGCCTTCAGCTAGGTTTTATAAAACCTTTTCGCTTTAGGCCTCCACTGCCGTGTGCAAAAACAAAAAGGCTCAATCAGTCAATTTCAACTTCTCGAAGGAAAAAAAAAGATCTTGCAAAGTTGGAATTGATTGATTGAACTTTTTAGTCCCACCCAGTCTGCCGTTACCACCGCAGCCATGCCCACCCAATGGGCCACACCCACCCGGCACCCGACGATGCATAAGTGGGTTTTGGTTTGCAGTTTGGGCACTCGGTCTCTAAAAGGTTTGCCATCACTGGAATAGGTCATGAGTTGTTTAAAAGAATGTTGGAACTCAAGAATTTACCAAATTCAGAACCAGGAAAGGTGTGGAGTCTTTTTTGAGGTGGGCAGTGGATAAAGATTGCTGGGTCTTTCCTAATAAAATGTAAGAGTAATGAAACCAGCAAAAGAAAACATGAAAGCTGACAAGGATTGTGTGAAAAATGCTAACTCTGCCCCGTATATACATGTGCAAAACCTAATGATCAGTCTTTGCAGGATACTTTAGTCCTTCCAATTTATGATTTATTTATGGAAAAAAGATTCTGTTAAGTTAGGCCTTTGAACTTACCAGCACTTTTTTGGCACAGATGTGTAAAAAAAAAAAGCTGTGAAGGAAAGTCCCCTATCTCTGTCTCCCCAGCTCTATTTAAAATCTGGTTGTCCTAAGCCCATTAAATAGTCTAATTCTCAGGGGTACTGGTTCATGATGCAATCTCTTCTGACAGCCGATCATCCATCTTTGCTAGCCTTGGGATTGGTAAAAAAAAAAAAAGCAGTATCTTAACATTCTCCCTCTAGGGAGAGGTTATATCCCCACCTCCAAGCATACACATGTGCTCC